AGAGCCCCAGTGCTGGCCCACCCGACCTGGACGTCTCCACTGCCAAGACCAACCGTGGCTTCACCATGGCCTACTCGACAGACGAGGACGAGGTACCCTACCTGAAGGGCTCGCCCTTTGCTGAGGACCCACTGCCGCCGGACCCGGGGGTGCTGGAGCCGCGGGCGCTGGATGAGTCCCTGGCTTATGACTCCATGAAGTACACGCTGGTGGTGGATGAGCACACGCAGCTGGAGCTGGTGAGCCTGCGGCGCTGCACCTCGGTGCTGAGCGATGACAGTGACCTGCTCCGTGCCTGCGACCGCTGCGACCTGGAGGACGAGGCGGCCTTCGGGGATGGGCTGGTAGCTCCCAATGGCCACAGCTCCTCCGAGGACTCGTCCCCTGAGGCTGACCTGCAGTTCTCCAAGAAGTTCCTCAATGTCTTTGTCAACAGCACCTCCCGCTCCTCCAGTAAGTGATGCGTGCCATGCTGTGCCACACTGGGCCATGCCATGCCATGCCATGGTGTCCTGGGCTGGTCTGCATGCTGTTGGCATGCTGGCTGCTCTGCACCATCTCTCCTCAGCCATCCTGGCCATGGTGGCATCCCCATGTGGCACAGCATGGCATGGCGTAGGAGGTGGGGGAGGGCAGCTGCAGGGGCTGTGGGGCTTGACCCGAAGGCCGCGGGCTCTCTGCCATGGGGCCACAAGGTTTCTCTGTGTGGCTGATCCCCAGCTTCCCTTTGGCCTATGGGGTCCTCTGCCCTGGGCTGTAGGTGGGGGGGCTCAGATGGGACCCCCCCAGGAAAGAGCCTGAGCCTATGAGTGATGGCTGGTCTGCTCCTGTTGCCCTGAGGGTGCTGCAGGCCCCAGGGATGGGCAGAGGTGGGGATGCCTCCCATGCCATGGGGTGGGAGCTGCACTCTCACCCTATGGCAGCCTCCTGCTCCTCCTCTGCAGGCACGGAGTCTTTCGGGCTGTTCTCCTGCATGGTGAATGGGGAGGAGCGGGAGCAAACCCACCGGGCCGTCTTCAGGTGAGCAGTGAGCCCAGACACCCTGGAGATGGGCACGGTCCACCATGGGGGCTTTCAGGACCCTCTTTCCCATGGCTCTGCTCTCTGCCCACATCCTCATTTCCACTGTGCTTCCCCCAGGTTTATCCCACGCCACGAGGATGAGCTGGAGCTGGATGTGGATGACCCCATCCTGGTGGAGCTGGAGGAGGATGACTACTGGTACCGGGGCTACAACATGCGGACAGGGGAGAGGGGCATCTTCCCAGCCTTCTATGCCCATGAGGTCGTTGGCCAAGCCAGAGATTCCATTGGTAGGAGCCTGCAGGGGTTGTGGGGGATACTGGGGGACATGGGGGTCTTGGTGCACAGTCTCCTTGTCCTGTCTCGCCATGCAGGCCTCAAGAGGAACCCGTGTTGGGTGGAGCGGTTCAACGTGCAGTTCCTGGGCTCAGTGGAGGTGCCGTACCACCAGGGCAATGGCATCCTCTGCGCTGCCATGCAGAAGGTGAGCCCCAGGGCGGGTGACAGTGGCAGTGGCATGATCCCTGGCTCCCCACATTGGCGGGACCTCAGCCTCATGGCCCTCACCTGCACCCCCAGATTGCCACCACTAGGAAGCTGACGGTGCATCTGCGCCCACCAGCCAGCTGTGACCTGGAAATCACGCTGCAGGGCATCAAGCTCATTCTGACTGTCGCGGAGTACAGCCGGGACGAGGAGGTGAGGGGCACGGCTGTGGGGTGCCAGGCAGCCCCTGTGCCCGAACAGGGTGCCTACACCTTGGTGGCTTCTCTCTTCCAGTTTGAACGCTGCAGCCACTTCTTCCAGATGAAGAACATCTCCTTCTGTGGGTGCCACCCCCGGAACAGCTGGTGAGACCCCCACAGTCCCCCCCAGGCAGCCCCAGTGGACCCCCGTCCATCCCCTCCATCCCCTGCCTGTGGCATGCACGCTCCTGTGGTTCCACACTGGATCCCTCTGCCCTGTTCCATCCCAGTGAGGCTGTCCCAGTGCCCCCCAAGGTGCAGGAGTGGGGTGTGCCCCCCTCACCTGGCTTCCCCATTGCAGCTACTTCGGGTTCATTACCAAGCACCCAGTGCTGAGCCGCTTTGCCTGCCACGTATTCGTCTCCCAGGAATCCATGAGGCATGTGGCCGAGTGTGTCGGGTAAGATGGGGATGGGGGCAGCTGCGTGGGGCATAGTGCGGCTGGGGGTCTGGGTGCAAGGAGCTGGGGTGCTGGGGGTTGGGGTACAGGGTGCTGGCTGTGCCGGGGTTAAGAGCAGGGGGTAGGGATGCAGGAGGTTTGGATACAGGGAGTCTGGGGGTGCTGGGCTTCTGGGTCCAGGGGTGCTGGGGATTGGGATACAGGGGTCTGGATGCAGGATGCTGGCTGTGCTGGGGCTGGAGGTGTGGTGGGTTATGGTGCTGGGTGTGGAGGGGGTCTGCGTGCCAAGGTCATGGTGCATCTGGTCTGGCCATGCCAGTGCTGGGGGTGCATGGGGTCTAGGGATGCAGCAGGTATGGATACAGGGGGGCTGGGGGTGCAGGGGGTTGGGGTGCAGGCAGTTGTGGAGCTGCGGTCCAGGCCACATCCCATCCCTGAGCCCCCCCATTGTTCCCATCCTCACAGCCGAGCGTTTCAGGAATATTACCAGGAGCACCTGGAATACGCCTGCCCCACAGAAGACATCTACCTGGAGTAAGGGGGCAGCTGCTGCCTTTCCTGCTTCTGCCCCCCCCTCAGCCCCACAGACGGCCAGAGACTCTGTCTGAACCCCAACCAGTTGCCTTGGCCCCCCCCTGCACATGTTCCAGCCCCACGGGCTCCCCCCCCAATCCTCACTGCTTCTTGGGGGGCCAGGGGCCCAGCCGTGCACCACAACTGGGTATTGGGGGTGCCCCCAGCATCACCCCAACCACGGGGGTGCTGCAGCCAAGCCACGGCACTGGGGCAGAAGCTGCCCCCCCTCTGCATGAGTGAAGCCAGCCTGTGGGGGGCCACAGGAGCGGGGACCAGTTCTGCCCGCGCCACAGGGATGGAGACACTGGGGGTGAATGGGGTTGGGGGGGCTCAAGGAGGTGAATGGGGCTTTGGGGGGATTATTGGAGGGCTGGGGTGAGCATCTCCAGCCATGAACCACCCCCAGTCCATGGTGTCCCCTGCATAGTGGCAGTGGCACCTGCCACCCCTGGAACAGCCCCCTAAGAATAGCCCCTGCCCCTCCATGACCCCTGGGGGGACCCTGGTATGGCCCCTCCTGCCCCAGTCCCTCTGCCGGTGCCCCCAGCCCTTGCCCACCACTATCGCACCATCCATGGGGTGCAGGACCTTTGGCTGTGGGGCGCAGGACCCCCCGCTTGGGCTGTACTTGCCCAGTGAGAGGCAGGCTCAGGGCGGTGCTGGAGCCTGGCCAGTGTGGCAGAGGGCCGGTGGCCACCCTCGCCCCTCGCTGCTGTGCCTGGTGGTGGTTTCCTTTGCTTGCCGGCCCCATGTGTCCATCCGCCCAGCGCTCAATGTGACGGTGACTCCACGCGCTCAATGTCCCGGTATTTATCTCCTAACTCCAAGACCAGGAGGAGCCCTGAGCAGCTGCCACTTGCCCAAACCCTGGTTCCAGGTTTTCTCCCCTCACCGCCTTGTCATCACCCATTTGGTCTTTCAATAAAGTATATGCTTGGTGTGACCACGAGACTGGGGATGCTTTATGGATGTGATGGAGGAAGAAGGTGCAAGTGCGAGGTGCTGTCAGGGCAGGCAGGTTCAGCAGGGCATAAGGAGGGAGCGCAGGAGGAGCGGGGGGTGCAGGCTGAACAGGAATGTATGCGCAACAGCCACATGGGGCGGATGAGCGTGTGCAGGAGGCACAGGGAACAGAGGGTAGGGGCACATGCACACCCTGGTATGCGCGTGGGGTCCAGGCCCATGCTAGTGGCGATGATGGTGAAGGTGCTGGTGCCACCGCAGTGGCAGTGCTGCTGGGCAGAGAGATGGGAGTGTCAGGCTTGAGGATGGCATGGGGGCTGCTGGGCTTCAGAGGATTGTTGTGGGGATGTTACACCCAAACACCTTAATTGGAGCCATAATTCCTGTTTTTAAATGTTCAAATGAAATTCATAGAACCACAGACTGGTTTGTGTTGGGAGGGACCTTAAAGCTCATCCAGCTCCAACCCCTGCCACAGGCAGGGACCCCTTCCACTAGAGCAGCTTGCTCCAAGCCCCTGTGTCCAACCTGGCCTTGAACACTGCCAGGGATGGGGCAGCCACAGCTTCTCTGGGCACCCTGTGCCAGCGCCTCAGCACCCTCACAGGGAAGAGCTTCTGCCTAAGAGCTCATCTCAGTCTCCCCTTGGGCAGGTTCAAGCCATTCCCCTTGGCCTGTCCCTACAGGCCCTTGTCCCAAGTCCCTCTCCAGCTTTCCTGCAGCCCCTTCAGGCACTGGAGCTGCTCTCAGGTCTCCCCTTCAGGAGCCTTCTCCAGGCTGACTCAGCCCAGCTCTCTCAGCCTGGCTCCAGAGCAGAGCTGCTCCAGCCCTTTCAGCAGCTCCGTGGCCTCCTCTGGACTTGCTGCAACAGTTCCCTTGCGCTGGAGCACCTCTTCCTCCCTCAGACACTGTTTTCCCCAAGGCAAACATGGTGTCTGGGTTCACTTGCAGCTGCCAGCACTGAGTGAGGCTTCATGAGCTTCCCTTAGCTCTTGGCACTTGGTTCCCCGGTGCCACACAGATGGGGCCCCACTGCTGACTGCCGGGCAGTGGGTGGCCACTGTCCCCAGGGGTGTTGGGGCCCCATGGGTGTGATGGAGCCTGTGAGACTGTAACCCCTGGCGCAATCCCACAGACACCATGGCTGGTTTCACACCATCACTTGCCCATGGCTGTGATGACCACTTGTCTGGTGGTGGCCACGAATCCGTCATGGTAGGGTGCAGCGGGTCCCTGGATGGCAGCCCTGGTCTGGGGGCTGCTGGAGCTGAGAGACACCACAGAACAACACAGAGCTTTCTTATAAATTTATTACATAATAATAATTAATAATAATATAATATAAGAAACATAGATCTCTGTGGGGTATGTGTATCACAACGTCAAGGGCGGGAGGTGAATGGCCACACCTCCATGACTCCGGAGAAGGAGAAAACTCCTCCGAAAGATCCATACAAAATAAGGGTGAAGTCAAACTGACCCTGTAAAATTAAAAACAGAACAAAAACCCACAGGTGAGTCCGTCGGGGTGAGAAACAAGAGTGTGGATGCTCGAGCCATGTGTGTGGCCGCACGCGTGCGTGCGAGGGTGGGAGCCGGTGTGTGCACATGCAGTGATTGTGAGTGCGCCCGGGTGACACATGCATGCGGCAGTGAGCGCTGCCCACGGGCGAACCGGAGGGAGGAAAATCGCGGACGGACGGAAAACCGCAGGAGGGAGAATGGAAAACTGCAGGAGGAAGAATGGAAAACCGTGGGAGGAAGGATGGAAAACCGCAGGAGGAAGGATGGAAAACCGCGCTGCACTTTGTCGCTGGATGGAGACGGGGTTCGGCTGGCGAAGCTCCTCACCACCAGGAACAAAGTGCGCTGGGTTTTGGTTTCTCTTCTTTTACAGTCAGAATTACAGACAGGAGCTGATGGAAAACAGGGTTGATGACAGCGTTAGTCTGGACAAAGGAAAAATACCAATAACTGTTAAAAAAACCCCTTCAAAGCCCCCCCCAAAAGAGTGGATCCCTTTTTACAGAAGATAACCCAAGTCATTGAGAAGCCATGAGAATCACAGTAACCGCTGCGCGGTCAGTCCCGCTGCCACCGGGACAGCATGGCCGAGGGCCGCAGGCTCGTGGGGTTGGTTCCTCGCCCGCTCCCGCTCTGCCTTCTCCTGGATGGCTTTTCCAAATGAAATGTTTCACTGGGTCTGGAGATGTTTGGAGTGGAGATGCCAATGAGGCCAGCCTAGATACAGAGCCCGGGAAGTGTTATCTACACAGGGAAATCCGCTTCGCTTCAGCCAAGAAAATCAAAGTAAATCAGCAGGAGCTGTGTTAGCAGGGGCACGGTTCTGCTGGGGGGTGAGAATGGCCATGGGAGAAGATCTTGGCCTTTGGCCATTGGGCAACCCAGGCTCCAAAGGCCATTGGGCCACCCAAGGTCCGAAAGCCACTGGGCAACCCTGTAACCCCAGTAAAGGCACTGCGCTGCAGGGGCGAGTGACCTGACCATGGGTGCTGCAGGTGTGTGGGACATGGCCACCCCTGAGCCGGTGGTATGGAGGAGCGTGGGCTCGGGGTGCATAGAGGGGCACAGGATGGGGACCCCGGTGCTGCCTGGGGATGATGCCATCACCAGTGCCCCGAGCCCATGATTATCTAGCTCTGCCATGGGTGCAGGGGACATGGGGAAGGTGCAGCGCTGGTGGGAGGGTGATGAAGCTGATGATACTGGTGTAGGGTGAGCAGGTTTGCGGCAGCCCCTGGCAGCCCCTGGGCAGTGTGGTTGGAAGTCGCCTTCTTTTGTGTGAAGCCTGACTGGGACGAGCCGTGGTGTCCCTTGGAAGCCGAGGGAACACGCAGTGTTTGCCAACACAGGTACGGCTGCAGCTGCTTGGTGGCAGAAGCTGGGGTGCACACGGGGCAACATAGCCGCTGACTCTGCCATGGCAGAGGGTGCATCCACCATTTCCAGCCCTTGCAAAGAGGATCGGGGCAGCAGAGGGGATATCAGGGAGGGGGAGAAGGAGGAAGAGGAAGAGGAGGAGGAAGAGGAGGAAGAAGAGGGCTCCTAAGAAATGGCAAGAAGGCGTCCAGCTTTCCTTGTCCCAGACCGAACTTTCTGCAGAAAAGTTGCACTCTGCAGACTTCTGACCTCTTGCAGTAAGAGGCGGGTGCAGGAGGGTCTCTCTTAGTAGCCCCCAAAACAGCTGCTGAAGGGGCCAAGACCCTGGTTCACCCAGCGGGAACCCGCCGGGCAGCCTGCACTCAGGCTCACACCATCACTTCCACCACCAGTGCTGCCGGGAGTGAGGGTTGTGCTGAGGGGCCACGGTGGCTCCTCAGGGCAGCACCCAGCAAAGCCTCCCACCATCCCAAGGGGACATGTGGGGCAGACAGGCTGTGGGGCTGTACCGGGACATGAGGACCTCCAGGGTGTCTAAGGGACACCAGGGTCTCTGAGGGCTGCTGGGGTCTCCGTTACCTGCAGGTGAGGTGGGGGAAGAGCTGGCAGTGTGATGGGAATGAAGCAGAGCAGTGAGGAGGTGACAGGTGGTGGTGGGACAAGCTGGCCGGGTGGGCAGGGGGTGAGCCATAGGCAGAGCAGAGGCTTGGCCCTTGGGCATGCAGAGGCTGCAGCTGAGTGGGGTCACCGCAGGCTCTGCAAGCAGCCACGGCCAAAGCCAGGCAGGGATGCAGAGGAGCCAGATGCTGGCATCCCGGGGCGTGCTGGTGCTGCTTTGCCAGGCAGGAAGCTGGAGAAGCTGCATCAGCCAGGAGAGCCGAGCTCTGGTTGCCGGGAACAAGTGGCAAGTTCAGTTCACAGCCAGGGGATGTGCGAGCAGTGGCTGCAAAGGTGGCCGCGGCAGGCGAGCAGCAACTGCGCTGGCGGCATGGAATTTCTGTGGGCGCGTGCAGGACCATGCCAACAAGCCCTTGTGACTGCAGAGTGCCTGGTGATGCCAAGCGCAGGCAAAGGAGCTGGAGCACTGGAGGGTGATAAGTGGGTGCAAGTAGCTGCGTGTCCTGCTGTGCATGTATCTGCACATGCTGCTGCACATGCTGCTGGGTGCAGGCGAGGCATGCAGGGGCTAGTGGAGGGGATTCAAGGCGTGAAGGCACCAGGTACAAGGAGGATGGAGGTGGGAGCTGCGCAGGAGGGATGAAGGTGCCAGCTATGAGGAAGGTGCATGGCAGGGAACAGTGGGGTGGATGGAGAGGGTGCGGTGCATGGTCGGCAGAGGGGTGATGAGCTGGTCAGGGAGGTGGAGGGGGCAGGACTGGGTCTGCCATGTCCTGTCCTGCTCTGGGTCACGCAGGGCAGTGGTGACACTGCCAGGATGGGGTGCAATGGGCACGGCAGGTAAAGTGAGTGGAGGGGTTAGGCAGACACGGTGGCTGCTGTTGCCATTTGGGCGCCTCTTGGCTCACCGGGTGACAGGCCCTGAGGCCCGCCATGCCCTGGGGCATAGACCGTGAGCTGTTTGCTCGCCAGTCCAGCTCGGAGCCACTCTCACCCTCCCCAGGCTGCCAGATGGCAACTGGGAGGTGGAGAGGCCCTGAACCCACAGGCCCGGTGGCTTCTGGAGAGTTCTGGATGGAGCCGCTTGGGCACACACCCAGCAGGAGTTCAGGGAAAAGGTGATGGCACCAGAGCATTCCAGGATCCATCCCAGGGAGGGTCTGGTGCACTGGCACCAGTCAGGACCCATCCCAGGGAGGGCCTGATGCACTGGAGGGACTGCCACCCCCACCCTGGCCCTTTTCCCTGGCTGAAGGTTGTAAAGGTTTGGAAATGTGTGAGGGTCAGAAGGAACCTCCTTGTCCTTCCCTCTAGCACCAGAAGAGTTAATGCCTTTGTGGGGGACTCGGCTTTTTGGGAACACCAGTCACCAAGCCAAAGCCACCTGCTCCAGAGCTGGCGAGGCGAGCCCTGCTCAGCCCTAGGGGATGACACAGCGAGGAGGGGGCATGTGGGGCACCAGGCACCACACTGGGGACAGGGACGCTGCCTCTGCCAGTGCCATGGCTGGACAGGGTCACCCTGGGTCCTCCAAATACCTGGAAGACAAGAGCGGCTCCTGCCAAGCTCAGCTTGACCTGGTGCCCCCATGGCCATGGCACCACCGGCCCATGGTTTCTCCAGCCTGGCCCTTGGACCCCTACGGCAGCTCTGGAGGAGCAGCCTCAGGGCACTGTGGTGACTGGGCTGCTGGTGGAGGACTGAGCACAATGGTGGTGATGGCCAAGGGACCCGCTGCCACGTCTCTGCCTTGGCAGGGGTGGAAGACTCGGTGTGTCCCAAAAACCCGAGTTGAGTTTTGTGTTTCTGATTCATTAAAATCCCGAGTGTCCGGAAGGAGCTGCTGGGGGTTGTTTTTTTGTTTCTTTTCTTTTTTAAAAATACTTTTAACATTCATTCAGTCGCTAAAAACTGCCGGTGCCGCGGGCGCCCCATGAAGGGGTGCGGGCACCGCCTCCCAGCATCTCAACATGTCTAGAGATAGAGATTAGGAAAATTATAACAAAATCAGGTGGCTCTAAGTATAGATATAGATATATAGATATTTGTTCTCTCTTTTCAAATATATAGCTGATTAAAAAGATGCAAAATAAGGATGACTAGGATGGAGTGGGAATCCTGTAGTTCAGTATCATCTCTTGTAGGTCATCAGCTGCTCTCTATATAGCTGCATGGAGATTAAATATTATCCATCAACGTGTCCCCCTTGGAAACAAAGACCCCAAACCAAGAGGAAATAAAACATCTCCCTCCCCCCACCCCCCTACTTAAGGTTGGCAAAGCATATTCTGCTGGATTCCCCACAAGCCTCCCTCCGCCATCCCCAGACATGCTTCTATCCATGCGGTTTCAGTCCCCCTCTCAGCAGGGCACCCGAGGGCAACCAGCAGAGCAGCAGCACAGAGTCCAGGGCTAGGGTCTCTTGGGTGGGAATCACTCCTTGGGCTGCTCCTGGCGTGCCTTGGCACAGGAGGGAGCAGGTCTGGGTGTCACCACAGGTGTCCACCCGGCCACCGAGACCTCTCCACAATGGAGCCCTTCCCATCAGCAGCACCAGTGGGATGATCCAGCTCAGCCAGATGCCTCAGACCCTAGAGGGGACTGGGGCCACCACCGCAGCCGTGGTGCCTCCGGCCTGCTCTGCTGAGCCAGCACCGCCTGCATCCTGCAGCAGCCCCTGCCCTGCTGTGCCAGCCTGGAGCAGCTCGGGGTCTCCATAGGCCACCCCGACCTGTCCGAGACATGGCACAGAGGTACGCACTGTGCACTCACCGCGCTGCCGTTCCCCAGCCTGCCTGTCACACCGGGCAACGCAGCCAGCACTAGGCCTCCACCAGAACCTTGTCCCTAAGCCAGGGCCTGGCTCCTCATGGCGCCACTGGCCTGGCCCCACTGCCCATCCCGACCGGGTGCTGCCTGTTGGCCATGTGGCGCCTGGGCTCAGCAGCACACGGTGCCTCGGCCGCGCTGGCCACCAGCGACGCCCGCAGGGAAGAGCACATCAAGCGATAGATATACAGGCCAGACTCTCTGTGAGGAACAGAAACGAGGATGTATTTCATGCAACATTCCTTGTCCTGAAGGCGTCGCTGGGGCCGAGCGGGGGGTTGGCGTGTGCGTGGCACACTGGGGCGGTGTGGGAGCGGGCGGGAGCCTGTCGGCTCCGCACCCTTCAGTGCAGTGCTCAGAGTAGAAAGAGAATCAAAGTGGGTTTTATTAGTCTAGTAGAAACACCCCCCACCCCCCACGGTGGCTCTGGAAGAGGCCAGCGCTGCCGGGGACGGTCAGCTGTCTACAAGCTGCTTGAGTGCCCGCTCAATGTTCATCCGGTGCCCGACCCGGGTCACCCCCAACTCCACAAAGTCCTCCTTGGTGAGGGCAGGCAGGTGCGTGCCCTCTATTTCATGGTCCTCAAACTTGTCTCGGTGCTCCACCAAATTGATACTTTCCAGCCAGTCCCCGACGTCGTACTTGTTCCAGAGGTGGAGGGGTTTCTGCATGAAGGGCCGAGGCGGGTGCAGGGTGTGCAGGGGTGGCCCTGGCGAGGGGGACGGGGATGGGGAGCGGCTCCGGGCGCTCACACTCCTCACCACAAAGCGCACCTCCTTGGGCTCATGTGGGATGGAGAGGCTGGAAGATTTGAGGATGGTGGGAGGGGTCAGACCGTAGGGCCGGACGGTGCTGAGGGGCTCTGTCCGATCCAGAGCCGGCTTCACGGGGCTGGGGGTACGTCGGGTTACGGGGTAGCGACTGCCAGGTCGGACTGTGTAGGTGGTCCCGGAGCTCCGCTGGGAAATGGTGCTGAGTTCTCCTAAACTACTGAAAAGTCTGCAGAAAGAATGGTACAGCGAGAGAGAGGAGAGAGCAGAGGGCAGGGGTGAGGCCGAGGTCCCGACACAGGAGCACACACACAGAGTATACATGGGGCAGGCTGGGATGGGGGGGGACTGGGGCTCTGCAGCACTCAGGGGACACGGCAAGGTGCACTCCAGCCAAGACGTCCTTGCCAGCCCTGCCAGGGCTCTTCCGGAGTGCGTAGAAGAGGTTCCAGCCAGCATCTCCAGTACCTCCAGTTCCTGGTCAAACCTGCCCTAACTGCCACGGCTCCAGAGCCCATTGAGACCCACTGGGGAGGAGTGTGGCTGCACACAAACACTGGCTGCAGCCTAGGACCATGTACCTTGCCATGCCCCTGCTGGGCAGCAGGAAGCTGTGGAGGAGCTGCACCAAAGCCCACTGGCCCCAGCTCCCACCAGGGACCCCCATATCCCCTCATGCTAATGCACCACCATCAGCATACTCAGGTCCTGCTCCGGACCTGGAGCAAAACTGCTCCTGAGCACATAGCCCCTTCCTGGGACAAGAGAGAACCTTCTGGCACATTCTCTGTGTCCAACCTGCCCTTTGGTCTCTGGCTGTCAGCAGAACCCTAAAGATGGATTGAACATCTTGGTGCAGGGTTGGTGCCTGCTCCTGTCTGGTCAATTGGTGTGGCTGCCCCATCCCTGGCAGTGTTCAAGGCCAGGTTGGACACAGGGGTTGAGGCAACCTGCTCTAGTGGAAGGTGTCCCTGTCTGTGGCAGGGGCTTGGAACCGGATGAGCTTTAAGGTCCCTTCCAACCCAAACCAATCTAGGATTCTATGGTAAGTAGGGAGGAAAGGGAGGAAGGCCCTGCTGCTTCAGGGCTGTCCAGACCAAGAGGCATCACTGGGATTGGGCTGGTTATCTCTTCACTGAACAGTCCACAACCACTCATTTGGGTCAATGTCACTCTGCTCATCCTCCAAACTAATCGATCAAACACAAGTCCTGCAGCTCCTTGGCTCCAGGATGGGACGTCGGTTACCGAACACGAGGTCCCCTGGGCTGCCTGTATGGTACCCTCATCAGTACCCTGGCTCCTTGCCACCCTCCAAGCTCTGCTCTCCCCTCTCAGGTCCTTCCTGGAACTGATGGACACTCTGGAAACTTGCTGCTGGCAACAAGAGTCCAAGGGCTACAGTTAACAGCACATACCCGCTGCCAGTGATGCCACACCACACAAGATCCACACTTTTGGAGATGAGCAAGCACTCGTGATTTTCAAGAGAGATGGCTCCCACAAGATGAGCTGAACACGAATATGTTCATAGTCTGTGGGCTCAAGTGTACTTCCTCTTAATTATTTCCCTGCCACCCTGGCACAGTGGGTTACCAAGTAGCATGATGGTGAATCGCATTTGGGAAGGGGAAGAGCTGAATGACCTTGAGGGCTGTGGCTCAAGAACAGAACGCAAATTGACAGTACAAAGTACAGATCAGAGGCTGGCAAAGGATCTTCTGGAAGAGATGGAGAGAAAGTTCTGGGTCTGCTCATGGACCCCAAGAAGGGGTGGCTGGGAGGCACTCCCGTAGCCACGGAAGGGCAGAACAAACACTGCCAAATCTAAGGAGGGTTCCTTACAGATGTATGGATGCAATCCTATTGCCACAGGAGACACTGCTACACTTCATTGGAATTTCTGAGCAGTTCTGGTCGCTTACGTTGGAGAAAAGTCAATGGGAACGGGAATGGCTGCAGGCACTGCAGCTGGTGTGCCAAAGCCTTGTTGAACCTGTGCAGGGTGGGACAGGGGAGAAAGTGCTGTCAGAAACTGTGAAAGAAGAAGAGAGATGTGTCCAAGGGGTACCAAGACCAAGACCTACAGCAGTCTCACATGAGTGTGCTCCTCACATCAGGGTGGATGCTCAAAGACTGTTGGCATCATGGGCCTTGCCAGTGGTGGAGATGTTGATCCCACAGAGACCCACATCTTGTGCAAACTGTGCTGCAGGGCCTCCCTGGTTCTTTTTCATTTGGTGGTTTACAGGGTCTGGAAACGGGCTATTCCTGCTCTTGGGAAATGGGGTGAATGGAACCACATGTGAGAAACCAGCTTCCAGGGCTGAGTGTCCTCACAGTAATAAGGCAGAGATGTCACAGCAGACTCTTCCGGGCATGGTTGGTCAGTGGATGTAACCTGTAGATCTGTTCTCCTCTGCTGAGCACTGGAACGGTCACTGTGGTGCGCGGCTGGCAAGGTACCGCTGGCTCTCAACACCTTCAGCAGTGCAGTTCTGCCAACCATGCGTTATTCTGCAGACAGTCTCTGGTGTCCTGTCTAGCTCTAGATGCTGACTTCATTATGGGCCAATTAGTCAGACACAGGCACTTCATCCTGCTCGGAAGCCAGGTCAGTTTTTCTGGATGTGAACCCTTCTGAAGACTCGGACATTACGCACAGCAATGAGATCTGCTTAGAGGGTTTTCCTGGATCACTGCTCTTCTTCATTGCAGGTTCACAGAACTACAGAATCCCAGGTTGAAGGGACCTCAAAGATCATCTGGTCCAACCCTTCCAGGCAAAGCATGACCTAGACCAGATGTCCCAGGTTAGTGTTGGTTTATCATGTACTTTGTCCAAGGAATGCACACCGATGGAGGCATGCACTAGCCAGCAGCAACCAAGCTGAAGCCAAGTGCTGCTACCTCTCAGGACGTTTCTATTGAGGTCTTAACCTTTGTCAGGTTTCCTGAACACGGTGGTGTTGCCCACTTCTCCTTTAGGCAACATCAAGTCAATGTAACTGGGGAGCTTAATAAGAAAATTAAGAGAAGAGAAGGCTCAGGGGAGACTTTTTAAGAGTCTTCCAATACCTAAAGGGGCTGCAGGAAAGCTGGAGAGGGACTTGGGACAAGGGCCTGTAGAGACAGGCCAAGGGGAATGGCTTTAACCTGCCCAAGGGGAGACTGAGCTGAGCTCTTAGGCAGAAGCTCTTCCCTGTGAGGGTGCTGAGGCACTGGCACAGGGTGCCCAGAGAAGCTGTGGCTGCCCCATCCCTGGCAGTGTTCAAGGCCAGGTTGGACACAGGGGCTTGGAGCAAGCTGTTCTAGTGGAAGGTGTCCCTGCCCGTGGCAAGGGTTGAAACTGGATGAGCTTTAAAGTCTCTTCCAACCCAATCCAGGCTGGGATTTTATGAAATGCTTCCTACACTTCCCACTTCTGGAGGTGCTCCAGCTGGGCCTCAGAAGACCAGTAACCCTGAGATAGCGGGATTGCTGGTTGCCACCAGCTCTGTGAGCTGGGACGTGGCAGTTCTCATCACCACTGTAGGACTGCCTTTAAGCTTGTCTTCTCTGAACACACAAAATCCAGGCTCTGGCATCTCTGGGCCTCTGTTGCACAGAGCCTGGTCTTGCAGGGTGTCAGCACCAGCAGTAGGTCGGTTGACTAGATTGATTCTTCAGTGTATACAGGAAAACTACTCTCCTGAGACAGAGAAGCCAAGGCCTGACTTGTGCACCACAGCACATGAGTGGAACTGACTGGAATCAGCAAAGGGGGAGAAGAGGTTCCGTGGGAAGCAGTCTCGCAAGCAAAGACACACCAGCTTGATGTAAGTTCTAAGAAAGAGATCTGTAGGACAGCTAATTAAGCCTTCTGGGAACACTTTTACTGATAGGCTTAAAAAGCAGATTCCATGAATGAGTCATTAATGGATAAGGATTTTTCCTTTGAACTTGTTCAGTCTGAATGTCTTCAGGAGTAACAAAGGCAAGGGCAGATCCAGACAGAGGGAACATGCTCCTCATCACTCCAAAGAGAAATGCTTTGCTTTCACTCAGTGAAGTCTTTTGTGCTCTTGGCTTCCAGGCATGCTCATCCTGGCCTTCAAAAGCATCTCCCATTGCTTTTCATTAGAAGTGTGTGAAGGACTCGCCTCCTGTTATGAACAACCGCCGCCTGCTGATGAGTGAGACATGAGACTGCTCTTGAGGATCTCCACTAGAGCTCGGTGCGCCCAAAGGCTCCAATGCAGAGCTCGGCCTATCTGTGACCAGGCTGTGCTTTAGGGATGGGTTGGGGACTGATCCTCTCTTTGCCTGAAATGCAGAGGGACACTTGGAGGCTCCCTGCCTAGGGCAGTGCATGCCCAGATGACATGACACCACTACAGTTCACATTTTGAAAGGATTTTGACTTCCAGAATTGCCTGAGAACTGTCCCTGAAAAGGAAGGACAGGGGAGAGGAGTACAGAAAGAAGAGAAAGTCTCTGAACAGTGCACAGAACAAGACCAGAAGCACTTGTGTTACGTGTCACTGTGGACATTAACACAACTGCTAAACAGGACAAACTTACTGGCATGAGCCGGATGCTCTCACAGGCTGCTCTGCAAGTGAGAATGGTGTCAGGGAAGCAGCTCCCATCCTTGCCCATGCCCTGGCACCTGCTGACAGGTTCTATTCATACGAGTTTTCTCTTGTTGGCCAGCAGGTCGAAGGAGGGGACTGGATGAGCATTAGCGTCCCTTCCAACCTAAACCATTCCATGATACAATTCTATCATTCCATGGGATTGATGGGCTGGTCTCAGGCAACATTTGCCAACCTGCTGCTCTTCTGTAAATGCTGAATTTTGGCAAGAAATCTGTTCCTGGCTCTCAGCTAAAGAACCCGATGAGAGGATAAGCTTATCCCAATAAAGAGAGCCCACAGGGAGAGGGGTGCCCAGCAGTGCATGAGGCTTATCTGAAGAACTGCTGAGAACACAGGTTTTTGCTGAAGGTGGTCTAATTTCCTGCTGTCATTTGCTCCTCAGGACTCTGCTTGTGCAGCCAGCACTTTCATTAGGGAAGATAAATCTGGCACTCCTGAGCTCTCTTTCACAGTAGAAAAACAAAGGAATGCTGTGAGGGAACAACTGCAACCTGATGCAGACAAGTGGGGTTAATTGTACCCAATGTACTGTCCCTCCTGAAGGGAAGGCAGAAACTCCACCAGTGTTTGGAGGGCTGATGAAGCTGAA